TAAAGATTTCCCATTTAAAATACACGTAAACTTGGATTATTTTTTTTTAAATATCTATATGTCAGCCGCATTTTATGCTATTGGATTGTTTCAAAAAAGGATTTACACGTAATCAAAAGTTCTACAAAAATGCTTTATGTGTCATAGCTGTAATCTGCACATGTAGGATGGTACGGGTCACTAAATCCTTTTTAGTGAAAAATTATCATATTTTTGAAGATATTTCAAAAGTGACTGGATTCTTTGAAAAAATGTAAAAAACAAACTTGTAGAAAATTTAATTTTTTTTTTACATAACTTTAAAGAAAAAAGATATATCTAACCTAAAAATTGATATAACGAGGTGTATTACATACAACATTTTATTAATAATTATGCTTGATTGTTTGAGTTATTTATTTTTCTCTAATCACCCGACTGTAGAAAAAAAGAAATTACATGAAATTTTACTGGTAAACAATTGAAAATCATCATTTATACAAAGTTTGATACGAAAATCCTAAAAATTTCATAAATTGTCAATGTAAACGCTTTATATCTCAAGAAATATCAATCTTAGCGATTCAACTGATAGGACCTTTTTTAAAAAAAAATAAATTTTCTACAAGTTTGTTCTTTACATTTTTTTAAAGAATCCAGTCACTTTTGAAATATCTTCAAAAATATGATAATTTTTCACTTAAATAAGATTTAGTGACCCGTACCATCCTACATGTGCAGATTACAGCTATGGCACATAAAGCATTTTTGTAGAACTTTTGATTACGAGTAAATCCTTTTTTGAAACAATCCAATAGCATAAAATGCGGCTGAGATATAGATATTTAAAAAAAATAATCAAAGTTTACGTGTATTTTAAATGGGAAATCTTTATACGCTTTGGTCGAGTACTTTGAGTTAATATTAAGGGCTAAAATTTTCAGGGAATTTTTTTTTGAACATTTTCAACAAGATTTTGAGTTGGGAGCGAAAAAATAAAAATTGTCGTGAAAAAAAAATCACCCTAATATATATATGTCCCTCTATACAAATTTTTAATTTAAATCATTTTTGATAATACCTGTATTTGTAATAGAAAAAATATAGTATGCAACTCGTTTATAAACTTTTCTATACACTCATTTAATTAAACTCGCCTAATTTCAATTCGTGACTAAAATGGCGTTTATCAAACTTTATACTTAAATCATTTAAGTTAAATTACTGTTAACAGAAACATTTTTTTAGTAATACAATTTTTTCTTGGCTATGTAAATTTGTATACAGAATAATAGTAAAATAAAGTTACTAATGGATTTATATTTTTGGTTTATGTAGTTCCTCTGTGGGTTTATAAAAATCCGGAAATATATTAAAAAACCGCTTAAATATAATTTAAGTAAATTTATGAACTAATGTTTTGTACTGGTTAACGTTTTAATTTAAATAAACTGTTAAGAAGAACACAAAAATAATATACGGGAAAAATATTACATTTTTTATAAGACAGAAACAACTCTTAATATGGTTAAAATTAATGTTCAATTTATTTGGGCTTGTAAAGAGTATAATACGAGAAAACAGCATGATATATCACGTAGCTTTTCTCATATAGTCTGAAGGTGATTTACTGCACGTCAAATGGCCTTAGAACTTAATCACTCGTTGTACAGGTGATAAGAGTAAAAATTTACGACCAAAAATTTCCAATACCTATTTGGAGCACTTAATCAAGGATAATTTTTTAACAATTTTTTCAGTTAAACAAAATAAGAAATATAAGAGAAAACAAACCCAAAACTAGTAATATTACTTGTAGTTTATAATTTTGGTTTGTTTTTATATGCCCAAACAAATTTATCTTAAAACATAAAAAGTTGGAAAATTAATGACGTGAACAAATAAGCTAAAAAATATATAACAGAAAAAAATCTCAAATTGACAAAGCACAAACAAAAAAATAAAAGAAATATCCAAACTTAAATTTTGATGTATTTGGTAATCCCACTGTTTGTTCCAATCGGTTTGGCACCCTTTTTCCATTACTGAAAACATTTTAGATGGGCCATTTCACGCTAAGCGATCAGCTAAAATATCAAATGCTCATTCTCGCCATAAACAAAAATTAAATTATGTTCTCAAATTAGGAATTAGGTGTTAGAAATCTGTTTTACAGGCTATCAAAATGTAAGTGTACTCCACCCAAAATTATTAAAGCAGCGTCAACGGAAACTACTACTTTATTGCCTGCGAAATCAAAAGGTCAGTACAAACGTGCATATAAACTTTTTTAAGAAGTCAAGATACTATTTAATAATTTTATCTTTTAATCTCCATTTTTTAATATTATTTCACAAGAAGGCACTTTATTTGACAATTGTATGCCATTTGACCAAAAATTTCTTTCTTTTTCAAAACGACATAACTTTTTTGTTTCTTGAACGATTTTATTTTGGTCTGTGATGTCTGCTAGCCTCATTCTCTGGCAATTCATGTTATAGATATGAAGCTCACGGTTCGTCAAGTAAATTTCCTACAGGGTGATATGTTAAACGGTGAAAATTTTCAATAACTTCATCCAAGCCCCGTTTGTAAAAAAATAATTTTTTTCTCGTTTTTACTTTGAAATAATGAAGTATTATGTGTTACCTTGAATCGTTTTTTAAATTTTTCGAATTGGAATCTTAGCAACGAAAATATGATTTTTTTTGTAGGCAATACACTAAGCCTTTTTAAGAACAAGAAGATAAGATTGTGAAAGATTGTTCCTTAAATAATTCTGAACAAGCAACAACCGACAAGCAACAAACTTCAATTATTTTCAGAGGAACCTAAGCAAAGACCACTTTTTCAAAATGACATTTAGGTGAAAATTGTGCGAAAACTAAATCTGAACCTTACGTTCGTGACAAGTTTTCTTCATAATTTTGACCTGATTGTAATTCAGTTGTCAAATTTAAGTTTTAGATAAAACCAAAATCACCAAGAATAAAAATTCGAAAACAATTTCTGGCTAACGCGTCAAACTTTAAGCTCAGCACAAAAAGACTTACCTCTTAGCCTTATAACATAAATAAGTATTATAACATAAATAGGTATTATCTGGTTTGGAAACAGATAGTCACGAACAATTTAACTTCGACCGAATTAATTACTTGGTCATTGATTCTTTTGTCCTTGAATCGTTTGTGATGACCGGCCATTATGGTGATGACTTGATTATATTGTTGAGTGAATCAACGCTTCTTTTATTGAATTGGGTATTTGATTTTAATTTTGCTTGTGCACGTGTAAATTAACACATTGATTATCCGGTGCAATAACATCACAACTGCTAAAATTTTAAAAATTGAATAAATAAACAAAATACGTGTGGAAGCATTTGTATTAGAAAGACTGTTTTATTATTTGACAGAAAATTCCCTAAAATATCCCTAGAAATATCACCAATTATTCAAATAGACCTAAATTTCCTGAAGGTCGTAGAGTAATCGGCACTTAATTGAATGCATGTAACCAAATCGTTTATATTATTCTATGGTTTAATTCACTTTTTAGTTTGTCACCCTAGTTCAAAAAATAATTGATCCTTGAATGGATTTATTTGATTTATTTAATTGATTCATTTTGCCACCCTTAGTGTCGAAAAATAAAGATAATAAAGTTTTGTGTAATTTATAGATTTCTTGAAGAAAATAGTTATTTGTTTTACAAGTGTTGAAAAGCGACTTTTTCATGCAAGCGTTTAAGTTGCTCACGAGGCCGTTAGGCCGATTGTGCATTAACACGAGCTTGAAGAAAGCTTTTCTCACATGTGAAACACAATATTTTTTCTATGACCCTTTTATTTTTTATTATTTTTAAATACAAAACAAAATATCCTACAGACAGCTGTTAAAATTACTTTCATCTTATTCTTTTAATTTTGAAGGTATAAGTAACTTAAAATCAATAAACTTATCTTCTTAATTTAAATAAAGTCACTAAAAATTAGAATTGAGTATACGAACACGGTTAACTGTGTTCTAAATGATATTTAGACAAACATACAAATACAATTCAAATATTGAAACGAATTTCAAACGATGCTGTCAATTTCTTTTCACACAGACCTGCCACTTTTCATACAGAAATGTCACTTTTCATTTGTGTTTTGCCTTGCCAATGAATATATTCATTTTCTAAGCAACATTGCCAGTACGAAATGTGACTTTTACATAGTAGTCGTAGAAAAAATAACTTTCATACTATTTCACACTGCAGTATCAAATTATAAACTGTAAAAAACATACAAAAAAAGGGGTAAAACATGTTTTCACATTTTAGATTTAGATATAGTATATTCGTTTTATAGACTTACCGACTAGAATAAAAATGTTATAGTTTAAATTTGTTTTTTATATTTTTTTATTTCCACCTTCTTAGTAAATGACATTTTATAGGTTAATTTTGTTGTTTTTGTATCCAAGTAAACGATACATTATGGGAACAGACCTGTAATATTTTACGGGCTTGTATAAAAGACCTGTAAAGTTTTACAGGCCTGTAGAAAAGCAATTTATGAAATGAAATGACACATTTGACACATTAATTGAAATTTTAAATTTGAAAATCGTTATCTTAAGGTGAAAATAAAAGTTTGTACGTGTCATGCTTTGCAATTAATCTTTACTAGGCTCACTGAATTATGGGGTTCGCTCCTGCATCGCTCACCCCACAAACTCCCAGCTCGCCCGTAAAGATTCATTTACAAAGCTTGACACGTAAATAACTATTAATAACCCCCAACAGTGTGTGGTCCATTTGCACCATTTTTAAGACACAATTTACATGAACTTTTCATAACTTTAACTTGTAAAAAGTCATATCCGACGCTCTAAGAATTATTATCTTAAAATCCAAAGAATTTCAATGCCTGATAAACTTTTTAAAACTCTTTTAAAAACAAATTTAACTTTTCGTAAGATATAGTTAACAATAAAATTGACTTTTAAATTTCTTCTTAATAAAAATCATTAAATGTACACAAATATTTATTTTAAATCTTAAAACCTAACAAATATAACATAAATATTTCACATTTAAATTTGTTCATCTATAATACTTTGCTGATATTTTAATTTTCTGCCTCCACCGTGATTCGCAGAGTTTCTCATCAAGGATGCACTTCTTACAGGAAGTTGATGACTGCAGGACGAAAGCCTTGTACAATTTTTTCGTTTCATACTAATGTATGTCGTGCAAGTGTTGTTTCGGTGAAGCACTGAGCTTTCAGTACCTTCTACTCCTGCAACAATGAAACAAGGGTTAAATCCAATTTGGCACAGACAAGTTAATTTATACAACAAAAACAATATAAATTGTTTACGTTAAAACATAGTACAGTAAAAAATCTCCTGATTTGCTTTAGAAGGTTGTTTGACTAATGATTTATCAGTAAGGCCGCGAAAAGTATGCATTAAAAACTATTTAAATATTCCGCATAATATACAAGATATAAAACCTTAACTTATGCACAAATAATTGCGAAAAGATAAGCACAAACAACGTCAAGTGCTTAAATAACATTTTTATTCCTATAACCTACCTACATGGTTTTTATTTCATAACTTCACCTTTAACTTCTCGAATTCTCTAAATTCTTTTTAAAAAAAAGCTTGAATACATACCTAATAGTATATTATTTATCAAGTTTTATAAATGCCATTTTGGACACGAATTTTATTTATAAACTTGTTGCATACTATTATAGTATTACTATACCTCTTCTACAACAAATACTTAATAAAAATGATTTAAATTAAATATTTGTTAGAGCGACATCTTTAAAACAATAGATCAGTGGCGGCTGGTGGATTTTATGTATACCAATATCTCAGTTATTAGACATGGGACCCACACCAAATTTATAATAGTTTATAATGACATTAAATAAACAAGTTCGGCGCAAACAGAATTTAAATTGAAGTTTGCGAAAAAAGTTAGTTTTTCCTGTCGCCCCACCCGCCTCCAGGCCCCCCTATTTGAGATAATTCAAATTAAAATGGTGCAATCTATTATCTACTATAATTTATCAACAAATTTAAAATTTTATTTAAAAAATCCAAATATTACAGATTTTATTCGATTTTAAATTTTTATTATTTATTTTATTTATATATATATATATATATATATATATACATATTTGAAACACCCTGTATATACATTATGTATATATATATATTAACAGAATTAAAGGGATTTTACATAAAAAATAATATAAATATGGCATATGATATATTTTTGTATTTTATTTGAAAATATTTGAAATTTTTTATTAGTGTTATTTTTGATCGCTGATATCTTTGAAACGGTTGATCTGAAGAACTTTGACCTTTAGATGTTTTTTGTATTCAAAATTAAAAAATAAAAATTCCTGTGTTATTAAAATGGAAAAACAACAAATGAATTGAGGCAAACTTAATATCAAGCGCTAAAATAGGCGCTAACATTTTTGTTTTTTAATGTACTATTAATTTTTCAACACCATTGGAAAAAAAATAATTGTTTTTTTTAAACACCCTAATATATATATATATATATATATATATATACATATATATATATATGTAAATATATTTAGCAAAGAAAGAATCATTTGAAAATATCTAAAAAAAATGTACCTATGTATGTTTAAAACATTCTGAATAGTTACGGTGCATTCGCCATTTTTGCAAGATTTGGTTTATAAGTTTTGGTTTATAAGAATACCGAAAATTTGTTAGCAGCATAGCATTACAAACTTTGGCAATGATTCTTTTTTTTTGTTTATTCTCAATATTCTCGAAAATATTCTGATTTTTCTCATTATTCTCGAAGAAAATTTCAATTTTTTCAATGTTCTCAAGAATACTAATTTTCTCAATATTTTTACAGCTGTTTACATCTTTTTTTATTAAAAAACTCTGTTAATCAATAAAAAACATACTAATAACAAAAATATTGAAAAGTTATAAGGGGCCGTCCATTTTTAAGGGAAAGTTCTTGATTGTGCTCCAAAAGCTTCGCGAACGTTCTTTAAGCACAATCGATAACGTTCCCTCATTAACAACACTAAGAATGTCCCTTAACTATTTTTCTGATTAAAACAATTTGGTAGGTAATATTAAAAAACAAATGCAAATGCCTTCGAAGTAAAAGCCAGTCTAGTCAAGCACTTTGTCACCTATTTACAAAAACTGCTAAAAGAACGCCTCACGTTTAGAGGGATAAGGTGGTTTATTGTTTGTTACGAAGTGTGACATGGAGGAACGGGGTATGGATCGTGCATAACATTACACCAAAAAAAATCACGTAGTAACTCGAAACTACTTGTAAAACTTGTAGTTTTTTATAGTTTAAATAACCCCTCTACAGCATATAATTTAAACTTAAAACAAATTCCTGCTATAGCAGTTTATAAACGCTATATATATATATATATATATATATATATCTATCGCGTTTAGCTCGAAATCAGCAAAGAAAATGTAAACTTACAGGTCACTATAAAACAAATTCCTGTACATAACATTTGTCAAACGTCAAATCTGACAAAATGTCGCAAACAAGATAATTTCAATGTAAGTACAGATTTATTAAATGCTTGACAAAAATAGGCAGCGAACTCTGAGCCCGGCTTTAATAAGCGCTTTCTCTGCCTGTTAGATAATATACTATTTCCGACATTACCCTCATTTTCCATAATTACAATTGTCATCTGATTTACCAAACCATTGTAAACATGTTTTCTTAAAATTGGCATTACCATTTGTTAGTTTTGTTATTGAAAAACTAGCTAATTAGAGACGTGGTGTCTCCACGTATAGCTTAGCTCATTAAGTATTAAGCGCTAAATAAAAATATAATTATAACCTACCAGGCGTTCTCATTCCCACTGCTTACCAATAACTGACTATAGTGACCCTTTCCCGCACATAACTTGTTAAGGGTTAAGATATTTTAGTGCAAATCCGAAAAAAGCTAAAAAAAATATAAAAAAGCCTGAACTAGGCCAAATAATATTTATTTAACACAAAAAAAATCTCTCGAATCTAGATCTAACAAATTGCAATTTTAACTCCAAATATAGTGAACTAAGGCCACTAATAGAAACTTTATTGTTTCTACGAAAGAACCTAGGTAAAAAAACAATTTTATTAAAACCTAAATGGCGTTTAAAATAACTTCTAAAATAAAATAAAAAAATCGTACGGAGCTGAATTTCTTATGAATAGGGTGGCAAGAGTGACATCTACCCATCCTATTCATAAGTAATAGTTTTTGTTCTTTATTATTTTGAAAAAAAAAATATTTTGACTTTAAAATTATAGTTGTAAAACTTCTAGTTAAAATACTATTTTCTTTAAAAATTATAAAATTGTATCGTGCAACTGTAGTGCTCTATTTTGAATATAAGTCGCACCAGCAGAAGACATTCAATTTATTTTAATGCTGGACAATGTCCAGTGGACATTCATGGCTAAGTATAATTTACTTACTTTTTAACACAGAATTTAGAATGATAATTGAATTAAAAAAATGTTTTTATACAGTTTTGTATAATATAAATATTTTTAAAACTACAAATTCCAATTAAAATGTAATTTACAGTTTATCATCAGGCATACTGCATGCATTTTTAAACTTTGTATTGGCATCGCTATTTTTCATACCAAATTTAAAAACATTAAATCTATTTTGTCGTACTTATATTTTAAGTTAAAACATTTATTCAGTTAGTTCTTAGACAATTGTTTTATATTTATACTAGAATTAGGCCAACGTAGTATTACAGTATCGAGCGTAGCGCAATATACAGAGTGCGCCATCTTAAAGGTGGATGATCTACAGACCCCCCGTAATCCTGAACATTGTTAAAAAGATCTATCTTTATTTATAAACAAATTAATATAAATATTAATTTGTTAATTAATTGTTGACATCACACCAAAGACAATGATTGACAGCATTTCTGTTAAATATTAATATGTATTCCTTCCTTTCTAGTCACTAAAGTTTAGTGATTGGTACTCACTAAGTATTGTAATATGTATGTTGTGTTTGGAGAATGCTATAAAATGCAAGTCATTATATTTACACTCACACAGTTGTGTGTGTCAATATAATTTTAATGTTTGTATAATTTTTTTATAGATTTATCGTGCTATTATGTATGAAAAGTCCACTTAGAAAAAGAAAACATAATAATTAAACCTACAGAAAAACCTTCTACATCGACTATCCAAAAGAAAACTGCAGGCAGTGAAGTGGGTGAAGAATCATCAGAATCGGACATAGAAACAGATAAAGAATCGGATGCAGGAAAGAAAGACATCATAGAAGATAAATTAAAGACTGATAAAAAACAAAAAAAACCGTCTTGGGATTTTTTTTTGAATTTGGAGGTGACGCGTCACCTCCAAAATCAAGAAAAAATCCCAAGAAGAACTAATAACACACCATTTTTTTTGTTATTTAAATAGGTACTGTGCACGGAGGTCAAAACTAAAGTATAGGACGAACAAAAATGCCAACCAAAACTGATAGCATAATCTGATTATATACTCTTTTAGTAACACAAAAATGTATTTATAAAAATCCCAGCTGATCCTTTATTAAAGTTTTGCATATTTCTTAGTATTTTAAAATTGTTTATGCCATTTCGATAAAATACTCCAGTACCATTATCAAATGTTTTAAAAAATTTGGCAGATACATGACTGAAATATGCATAAATTACATTATAAATACAAAATAATGTAAAATACAGTTTGCAATAACTTATTTATTGTTTTAAGGTACCTAATACAAAACTAATAAATAACTAAAGATTCTTTGAAGCAAAATCGATTACTGCTTGCCTTAAATTTTCAGTAAAACTTTTTCTTGGGTTTTACATGGAATTGTTTTTAACATGGAAACAGTTTTTTTAAATTCTTCAGTCTCTGTACAAACATGCTTCTTACATCTAGCGATATCCCCTAGAAAAAAAGAGCATACCAAAACTTTAGTTCGTTCGTCCGTCCTCTTCCCTTAATAATTTTGTATGCCCTTTATATCTTGCCATTTTGCAGATAAACCACATACATTCTTGGCTGCCGCGAAATTCTCTAGCAATTTCTAAATTTTGAAAATTTGGCAATTGTGGCTATGCAAAAATACCGTTTTTACCATATTGAAGTAGGTAATTTTGAATCACTTAAGTTAAAGTGTTTGTTTAAAAAAGTCTGCAGTAATTTTTATATTTTCTCAGAAACCCTAAAC